TAACCCCTCTCTTTTTCAAGATAATAAAAGTAGCTATCAATTAACCTGATTTTCCTTATAATGATTGGAATTTTGTCATGATAATTAGACTCCTTCCATTATATTTCAAGAGGATTCAGAGTGTTAGAAATACAGAAGTCCTAGCCACAATGTCATAAAAGAAGAAAAAATAAAAGGCATCCAAATTAGAAAGGAGGAAGTAAAACTGTCATTATTCACAGATGGCATGATATTGTACACAGAAAACCCAAAAGACTCCACCAAAAAACTACTAGAGTTAATAAATGAACACAGCAATGTAGCAGGATACAAAATTAATATCCAGAAATCTATGGCATTTTTATACACCAATAATGAACTCTTGGAAAGAGAAACTAAAACGACAACTCCATTAACCATTGCAACAAAAAAATTAAGATACTTAGGAATAACCTTAACCAAGGAGCTAAAAGACCTGCACTCAAAAAACTACAAGATGTTGCCGAAACCGGTTTGGCTGGGTGGATAGAGTCTCCAGTGACAGCGTCCACACCGGGACCCAGCGTTTGACAGCGAACCAGCAGCGCCCAAGTGTCCCCAGGAGCCGGCTCAACTAAAAAAGATCTTAATAGCCGCAGCAATCTTGAGAAAAAAGAACAAAGTTGGAAGGATCACAATACTGGATATCAAGCTGTACTACAAAGCCACTGTAATAAAAACAGCCTGGTACTAGCACAAGAACTGGCATATAGATCAATGTTTCAGAACAGAGAACCCAGAAATTGAGAACCTATAATTGAGCCATTATGCTCAATTAATATTTGACAGTGGAGGTAAGAGCATATAATGGAATAAGGATAATCTCTTCAATAAATGGTGTTGCAAAAATTGGACATGTATATGCAAAAAAATAAAACTAGATCACACAACTTAACCATACACAAGAATAAACTCAAAATAGATTAAAAACTTAAATTTAAGTCATGAAACCATAAAAATCCTAAAAGAAAACATAGGCAGCAAAATATCAGACATCTCATGAAGCAAAATTTTCACAGATACAAAGGAAAACATAAATGGGACTACATCAAACTAAAAAACTTCTCCACACCAAAAGAAACTAGCATCAAATTGAAAGGGAACCTACTGCATAGAAGAACATGATATATGTGAAGGGGTTAATTTCCAAAATATAGAAAGTACTATACAACTCAACAAAAGGAAAGCAAATGACCCAATTAAAAATGGGCAGAGGACCTAGATGGTTTGGTTCAGTGGATAGACCGTCGGCCTATGGACTGAAGGGTCCTGGGTTTGATTCCCACCAAGGGCACATGTCCAGGTTGCGGGCTCGATTCCCAGTGTGGGGTGTGCAGGAGGCGGCCAATCAATGATTCTCTCTCATCACTGATGTTTCCATCTCTCTCTCCCTCTCCCTTACTGTCTGAAATCAATAAAAAAAATATTTTTTTAAAAAAAGGATTGGAAGAATTAACATTATTAAATAGTCACCTCTCCAAAGAAGACATACAAATGGCCAAGAGGCATAGGAAAAAATGTTCAATGTCACTAATCATCAGAGAGATGAAAATTAAAACAATGATATACCACCTCACACCTGCCAGATGGCTACCATCAATACATCAACAAACAACAAGTATGGAGTTCCCTCAAAAAATTAAAAATCGAACTTCCATTTTGACCCAGCAATCCCACTTCTGAGAATATATTCTAAGAAGCCTGAAACACCAATCAGAAAGAATATATGCACCCCTGTGTTACCAGCAGCACAATAGCTAAAATCTGGAAACAGTCCAAGTACCCATCAGTGGATGAATGGATTTAAAAACTATGGTACATTTACACCGTGGAATACTATGTAAAAATGCAACTGTAAAAAAGAAGGATTTATTACCCTTTGAGAGGGACCTGGAGAGTATTATGCTAAGTGAAATAAAAGAGAAAGACAAATATCATATGATCTCATTTATATGTGGAATCTAATGAACAAAATCAACTGACAAAATAGATCCAAAGACAATGAAAGCATGATTTCAGAGGGAAAAGGGGAGGTGGGGGAGAGAGTGGAGGAGAGAGGAAAGAGATTAACCAAAGAACTTATATGGAAGGTTTGGGGAGGGGGTGGGAGTAGGGGAAGAGAGGTAGCAAGTGGGGAGAGGAAACATCTGTCACACCTTCACCATTAAAGTGTAAAAATATCTATAGACACAGAAAGCAGATTTGTGTCTTCCAGTGGGGTAGGGTAGAGGATATGGGGAGTGACAGCTTAATGGTTACAGGGACACCCCTTCAGGTGATAAAATGTTCTGGAAATAGACAATAGTGATGAGTACACAACATTGTGAATGTATTTAATACCACTGATTTGTACAATTTAAAATGATTAAAATGGTAAATGTTATGTTATGTGAATTTTAACACACACACACACAATCTGAGTCAATTTTATGTGGTCAGATGAAACTATGCTCCCTGAGTCACTTCCAGTTCCTCCATACCCTCACCACAGATGTAATGATTAAAAGAATCATTTTCTCACAAACATAAGGAAAAACATAAATAAAAACTAAATTCTGTTGGGAAAAAAATCAGTTTTTACCACTAGAATTCCTTTAAGAGTTCAATTATAACATAATAAAATTATATACCTAAACCTTCTAACAAGGGATTTCTCTAAATTTATTTTTAATTATTTTATAGAAAAAAAATCAAACAACATCTCATGACTAGCCACAAAATATTTTAAATATGTATTTTAAAAGAATTATGATGCTTCTGATTCACCCATACTATAAACATTATAATAGCATTTGAATTATCTTCTTATGAATTATATGAGCTAAAGGTGTTTTCTTAAAACATTATGTCCACATAAGAGAAAATGAATTGTTGGGAAAGAACTGGAATGAGGTACATCATTCTTAGAAACACATTATAATGGTAGGATTTGTCCCATGAAATCAATTAGCAAAGCTTTGGAGGGAATCCATTAAGGCCAATTATAATAGAGAATGTTTTCACTTAATCTAGCTAACTGTTATTTATTCAAGATGATCAAATGGTCTAATTTCCAAGTGTTCATTTTCATACACAAAATGTAAGCAACTGCTGCCTCCTTAACTGTGTCCTTCCATCCACCCTTCTTATGCCCGTCCTTACCCTCTTCGGGCTGTTATCTATAAACTCTGCTCTTTCCTTTAGAGTTCCTCCAGTGACATCTATTAAGCATTTTCTTCAGGGGGAAAAAAAAAAAGAATTCTGATGTTTTGAGGTGTAGAACTTGCTCAAAGGAGAAAAATTATATTCTGTCTTGATACAATTATGGGGAGGTGGGTATGTTTGAATTCTGAGGTTAGATAGGAGAGAAAGAAAAATGTGTACCTCAAAAATCAAATGAAAAGCCAGAAATTATGGAAATACCAGAGATATTATGGTAAAATTGTTTAGAAAAAAAAAATCTCATCTTCATATCATAACTTCTAAATATCATTTAGCCTAATATATTTCCACTACAAATCTATTTTCCTCCCCTGATTTTAAATGGAATGTATAGATATGCCCCTCCAAATTATTACATTTTATCCATTATAAGATTCCATCAGTAGTAAAACACACCTTTACCCATTACTAAGAAAAAGACTTTCCCAATTAAACTACAATGTCCCATCAATTTTAAGAAAGACTCTGATTTAAGAAATGTTTAAATATAAGAAACAAAATACAAAAACCTTACCTCTTGCAATTGGTGAAATACGATTCAGTTTTTAAAAGAGGTGGTTTTGTGGTATTTTTGGGTTTGGTTTTGGGGGATTTTTTTTTTTTTTTTGGCTTTATGCAGACAGAAAAAAATAGGTTTAGAGTGGAGACTAAAATAAATATACTTAAAATTTCCAGTTCAGACTTTACTCTTTAAATCATGCTGCTATTTCTTACTTTGTTTTTCTCAGGAAAAGGAGATGTTTGAATAACCAGATGAAGCCCACAGTTCACCTGCAATGTAAAAATTAAACCATAAAATATGTTAACTTACACACACACACACACACTCCTCCCCAAAATAATACAAATAGAGATACAACAAATAGAATGTTTGCTCTTTGTTTCTGCTATATGATTATGTTCTGAGGATTTGCTGAAAACAGTAAAATCACAACTAAGAATTAAAGGTTTCACTGTGATTTATTTTCTAAAATGTCTGCAGCAATTTAACCCTCTACTTAGCACCTCAGGATCTAGACACTTGCCATTTCAGGCCTAAGTAAATATCTCAGTGCAAAAGGTGAAGGAGTTGGGAGAGTCAATTAATAATAAATTATTTTCTTAAGCTAAAAAAAAAATGAATTGACTAATGAAAGGAATTTAAATGAACCTTAGCCTTTCACAGCAGATCAGCTCCACCTCCTGGGAAGCGCGGATCTGGGACGAGACTGAACCCCATCATGCAATATTAACACCCTCAGGTGCCTGGGCCCGGTGCTTGAACCTCGAGCCGCGGCCAGACAATAGCTCAAGAAGGCTCAGCCATCCTAGCCCCGATCACACATCACCAGGACAAAGACGCCACAGACAAGACGATGCGAATGGAAAGAAGGGAAAGGAGGACACCCAACCTACGTTGTTCGTAGCCCGGCCAGAAACAGAGCGGAATTTCCCGGGAATCATGGCAGGCGTCAGTCCAGGATCTGTTAGATCTGCATTAGAAATGACGCTACAGCCGAGATTCAAAGAGACCAAAACGGGTCAGGTCCCAGGCAACCCGCTCAGGGGTTACTATGGAAACAACGATTTCCGGTCTGGCCCTCTCCCAAGTCTGCGGTTTGTGGGGGCGGGGCCGGTTGGACCCCCGGTAGCTAGGACAGCCGCCGCTTCCGGTCCGGGCCTCCTCAGGGCCCCCTCTGCTCGCCCCGCGCGAGCCAAGTATCCCTGTGCGGTGACCACCTGCTCTCCCGCCGCGACCGCGGGAGGAGGAGGAGGAGGAGGAAGGTGTCGCAGGGCCAGCGCTCCCCCACTTGGGGCCCCAGTTCGACTCTTCCGGTGGCCGGAGGTAGGGGAAGGAAACGCGCGGGACCCCGGCTTCCCCGCGCCAGGCCGCCTCCGTGCCAGCCGTGGTTCCGCTTCCCCGAGGACCGGCCGCGCAGGGCCGCCGCGCCCACTGGCCGGAGCGG